GCTATAATTATCGGTATCAAAAGCACATCTCGCTGATTCCGGAGACCTTGACCCATACGCATGCGAGACAAAATCTTGGACGACAATATTAAAAACAATTCCGTTGCTATCGTTCTCGTCGAAGTCGCCGAAAAGTTCACGCGATAAAGCGAGTTTATTCTAATATTCTTTGTCGATCGAATGCATTTCGGAACACCGTTGCCGGCTCTATCAGCTTGAAACGCATTTCCTGCGCTCCGTAACGAGTTCGTCTCGCTTTGGATAAAATCCAAGATCCCCTTCGAATCCGGAATTTGATAATTCCGAATGCAGCTCCGTTGCATTACGTCCAGGAGGGAACGTCTCCGCGGAATCCGGCAGTGTGTGCACGAGCGCGCACGTAACGTGATCTATTCATCGGCAACTCCTGATCTGCATTGAAGTTTCTACAATTTTCAGTAGCACAGCTCCGTAGCGCAAGTTGGTCGTTGTCTTTGCCCTAACTTTCGTCGCTGTTTGCAGAACGTAGCGCCGGGTCGCGGCACGTATTGGCTCGGGCTGCGACACCACCGGGCTGCACCGGGGTCCGTTTCGACCGTGGTAATCGATTGTTACCGGTTCCGCGTCCGTTTCCTCGTTCGTTCGAATTCGGAGCCGCGGAAACGTTCCATTTCTTCGCCTCTAATCGCGTATCCCGGCGGTCGGGCGCACGCCGTTCGCCGTTCATCCTGCGTCGTTTATCTCGTTTACGGCGGCGGCACGCGGCCGATTCAATCCGCTTTCGTTGCGTTCGCGAGCAATTAATCAGCCGCGGATACGCGCCGGCTTGTTAAGCGGCCCGGCGACGGGCTTTTTAGCGAACCGATAATTGATGGGAACGAGGAATGCGAGCGTTCTTCGTGCACACGCGAGAACATCCTTCGACGCGCGTGCTGCCGCGCCGTTCGACAACGTTCATTCGCACCCGATGTCCATTCGGGGCCATTTGTCTGCCGTCCGTGAATAGTGAGACCTCGAGGGAACGCCGCGAAACAGATTAGAAAGAGCCATTTTTATGTTTGCTCGAACCCAGTTCGGTTAATTCACTTTTCATTGTGTTGCGAGTCGCGCTACTCGCCGCAGCGATCTTGTTTGGATGTGAAATCGCATCGAAATCTGCGATTGGTGGTAAAAGCATTTCTACAGCTTTTAGAACGGAGTAATTTTTATTATTGTTGAGTCAAGAGAAGTAAATTTTTTGAGGGATTGTCAAAGGAATTAGATTACTACGCAATGGCTAACAAATTTTTCGAGAGTTGCTATCGAACATCGCTTGAACGAATTACAAAAGAAATTATTTCGTCTTAAAAGGTAGACGAATACTTTTTACAGAAACTGTACCTCGATAAAAGACCTCGAAAATTGTCGACAAAAAATTGGGAAGAGGAGCTACGATTGTGCGAGCCTCGCGGCTCATTTTTACGGTCGTCGATTGTCAACAATTATAAAAACGAGGCGCAAGGCTCAAAATCCAGTCGTCGCGATCATTGTATTCCCATACACAGATATACATAGAAAATAACAGAGGATCGGTGTGAATCGTTAGGAAGTTTCTCGCAGTAGAAATATTAACCCTTTGCACTCGATTGGTGACTCTGAGGCACCGCTAAAATTATTATATCACGTTCCAAGATAATTTTTATACTAACAAAGTTTAGGTTTAAAAAATCGTTAATAGTTGTACGAGTTGTACGAGTCACCGCAAGACTCGATTTCACACGCATAAAATGCACTTTGTCACATCGAATGGAAATACTACAAGTCAGAAAAAGAAAACAGAAGATTCTTCGTTTCCTCCAAGAATCTGAGAATTCCGAACGATCGGTGGATCGCGTAGTTTCAAGCGCGACCGGGGAAAGCACCGAAGGTCTAAGTTAGGTGGTAGATGACCTTGTGTCGTGCTACCGCAACCTTGGGGGGGAAGGATTCGATAAGAATCGTCCGAGAGAGCAAGGAAAGGTGAGATACATTTCGATAAGAGAGCCGTGGCGTGCGAATCTAGCGCCGGCTTCAAAGGTCCACCATCGAGAGAGCCATTTTCGTTTCCACGTTGCTCGCTTTGTACACGTTATCCGGCTTGATCCGCGAAAAAGTTTGATGTCCGGAACGTTTAAATTTAGAGCCGGAGTGCTCCAATTTCATTCGTATGTGTTCATTTCGCGCGCCTCTGCTATATCCGCTTTAACAGCGACGAAATGGCGCGCACACGCCACGAATTTTACCGCTGCTTCGCCGCTAACACAACTCTAATCGGACATTCTCTTGGCGATGGAAAATGGCCAATCACTTTTTCCGGGCTCTCTGAAAATATTAGGTCTACCGGAAAGTTCTGTCCGATAGTGTCACTTCGAGTTTCAATCCATATGCACATGTTGATTTGAGACATATATGACCTGTCTCTTATACACATCTAGATGTGTATAAGAGACAGATATTAGGTCTACCGAAAAGTTCTGTCCTGTTGAGAAAAAAAAAATGAAAGGAGATAATAGATCTTTCATGAATTTAGTAATATTTATTGTACAATATAATTTCCGTCGTTACTTATGACCTCTTGCCAGCGTGATGGCAACTTGTGAATGCCATTTTTAGAAAATGATTTATTTTTAGAGGCGAAGAACTCCTGTAAAAAGTTTTGCAAAGAGAGAAACAAGTGCTGTCTCTTATACACATCTAGATGTGTATAAGAGACAGATATTAGGTCTACCGAAAAGTTCTGTCCTGTTGAGAAAAAAAAAATGAAAGGAGATAATAGATCTTTCATGAATTTAGTAATATTTATTGTACAATATAATTTCCGTCGTTACTTATGACCTCTTGCCAGCGTGATGGCAACTTGTGAATGCCATTTTTAGAAAATGATTTATTTTTAGAGGCGAAGAACTCCTGTAAAAAGTTTTGCAAAGAGAGAAACAAGTGCTGTCTCTTATACACATCTAGATGTGTATAAGAGACAGATATTAGGTCTACCGAAAAGTTCTGTCCTGTTGAGAAAAAAAAAATGAAAGGAGATAATAGATCTTTCATGAATTTAGTAATATTTATTGTACAATATAATTTCCGTCGTTACTTATGACCTCTTGCCAGCGTGATGGCAACTTGTGAATGCCATTTTTAGAAAATGATTTATTTTTAGAGGCGAAGAACTCCTGTAAAAAGTTTTGCAAAGAGAGAAACAAGTGCTGTCTCTTATACACATCTAGATGTGTATAAGAGACAGATATTAGGTCTACCGAAAAGTTCTGTCCTGTTGAGAAAAAAAAAATGAAAGGAGATAATAGATCTTTCATGAATTTAGTAATATTTATTGTACAATATAATTTCCGTCGTTACTTATGACCTCTTGCCAGCGTGATGGCAACTTGTGAATGCCATTTTTAGAAAATGATTTATTTTTAGAGGCGAAGAACTCCTGTAAAAAGTTTTGCAAAGAGAGAAACAAGTGCTGTCTCTTATACACATCTAGATGTGTATAAGAGACAGATATTAGGTCTACCGAAAAGTTCTGTCCTGTTGAGAAAAAAAAAATGAAAGGAGATAATAGATCTTTCATGAATTTAGTAATATTTATTGTACAATATAATTTCCGTCGTTACTTATGACCTCTTGCCAGCGTGATGGCAACTTGTGAATGCCATTTTTAGAAAATGATTTATTTTTAGAGGCGAAGAACTCCTGTAAAAAGTTTTGCAAAGAGAGAAACAAGTGCTGTCTCTTATACACATCTAGATGTGTATAAGAGACAGCACTTGTTTCTCTCTTTGCAAAACTTTTTACAGGAGTTCTTCGCCTCTAAAAATAAATCATTTTCTAAAAATGGCATTCACAAGTTGCCATCACGCTGGCAAGAGGTCATAAGTAACGACGGAAATTATATTGTACAATAAATATTACTAAATTCATGAAAAATCTATTATCTCCTTTCATTTTTTTTTTCTCAAACGGACAGAACTTTTCGGTAGACCTAATATATGTAATTATTATTCATCGTGTTGCGACAAATTCATCTTACCATTTCGCTGAAGGCTATTCTAAATCAAGAAGTCATAAGTAACGATGGAAAGTACATTCTACAATAAATATTATTAAATGTATGAAAATTGTGTTATATTTCAATTCAAAAACGGACAGAACATTCCGGTAGATCTAATAGTTAGCTTCGACCCTGACACGATCGAGCGCGCCTAATTTGCGAAACGCAAGAAAATTCGTGGAGAGTAATTAATATCGTAAACCCCGGGGCTTTCGTTCCTCGCGGAATAAATTACCTTCGGTTTCGTAAAACTTTCTTGGCCGCGAGGACCACGGTCGGCGTCTTAATTAACAATATTCCGCGGTAACGGATTTATTTTCCCAAGAGAGCGCGAAATCGGAACGAACCGGGACGACTCTTGATCCAATACGGTCACTGGCGCGAACCGTTGCGTCGGCAAACCGGGAAAAAACAGAGATCCGCGACTAACGAGTTTACGCGGCGAACGGGAGATAAAAATCTCCACGGATGAGATTAGTTGGCAAGATTTTCCCCTTCGACCTCGGGATGGCAGGAAACGGCCCAGAGAGTTTTGCAGCGCGGCGACAGGATCGGCGAAATTTGACGCGGTTTTATGCTCGATCTGAGAGTAAATTTTCCAAAACGATACAAAATCATGCCAAGATGCGGGCTCGGCCATCGCGCCGCATCTGTTATTGATGGATCCTTGTTACGCTCCGCGTCAGCGTATTGCGCAAGTGGCCGTTCCGAATGCCACGCAACGTCCACGCGAAATTCCGTGGCCCCCCTTCTCCCCCCCTTTTCTCGCTCTCTCGCACTCCCCGGCCCTCTATCTCTATCTTACCCTCTCTCCCATTTCGACCGACCGTTACTAATTGATCGGACAAAAGCGCGATTTTGTAATTTCCATATAAATGGGAAATGCAGATTCGGCGTGTTGCAAGATCGACCGGCGGAATTCATGGCCTATTGTCATCGTTCGTTTCAGGTTCCGCGTTCCGCGGGAGACGGTTGTGCCCGTATATTCATCGATCGCCGGCCAAACGGTGGCGTGCATCGATTGCCGGCTATGTCGTTCTCGTTTGACCAACGCTTGCTCAAATACGTTTGCTTATCGGACGAAAAAAAAGAAGAAACAAAACAACCAAAGGGAATAAGAGTGCTCTGACCGGTCACGGCTACTTTCTAACTAGTCCGATTTGCGAACGTAAGCGAGTTCCATGCTTTGACCGCTGTTCCCCCCATTGACAATCGGAAGTTAACGCAGTCTCCTTTTTAACCAGTTTGCTGTGCCGCCTCCTTTTCGGAGCGCGCACCTCCGTGTGTGTCGCGAGAATCAAGCGACGACGAGTATACATACTCGTCGTGACATAAAATACACAGTAAATTCTCTCTGATTGACGCTCGGATTGCACACAAAAATGGAGAATTTAGAGAGAGGAGATACGATTGTTCGAGCCTTGCGGGGCTCGTTTTTATAGTTGCCGGTTGTCAATAACAATAAAAACACAAGGCTCGAATAATCGTATCTCTTCTTCCAAAATTGTCGATTTTTGTGCACGATCGGAGCATCGATTTGGGAGAATTTACTGTGACGAGTATACTCAAACACAGCTAACTGGTTAATGTACAGGTTTGTCCCAAAATTATGGCATTTCCGGGAAATTTGGGGTTCCTGAGATCATTCGAAGTAAATTTTTCCTTTACAAAAATGTTCTCCGAAGCATCGTTCACGAGTTATTAACAAAAAACTCTGACCAATGAAAGACGAGATTGGCTGGCGCGAGGCGGTCGAGCCAATGAGCGGAACTGGGCTTCGTGTGTTCGTTGCCACGGCCCCGCCTCGCGCCAGCCAATCTCGCCTCTCATTGGTCACAGGTTTTCCTTAATAACTCGTAAACAAAGCCGCGGATTGCAATTTCGCTGAGGAAAAAGTTACTTCGAATGACCTCAGGAACCCATCATTTCCCGGAAGTACCATAATTTTGAGATACCCTGTGTAGTATAATATAGTACAGTTGTTATATAGTATTATTATTATTATTATATACTAGTATTATTATATAGTATATTATAGTACAGTTATTATACATATAGTATTACTATATTATATAATAGTATTATTATATAGTATTATTATTATATAGTATAATATAGTACAGTTGTTACACATAGTATTATTATTATATAATATAATATAGTACAGTTATTACATAGTATTATTATTATATAATATAATATATAGTACAGTTATTACATAGTATTATTATTATATAATATAATATAGTACAGTTATTATATAGTATTATTATAATTAGTATTAATAATTAGTATTGCATAAAGCATTACATAAAGTATATTATTAAAAGTATTCCACAAACGGAATACACACCTACGTTTTATTTTTGCCCCGTTTGGTGGTAACCAAACCAGGTAACGCGTCGGGGCTCGCGAGACGTTATTGAATTGTTAAGTCTGGAATTGCCAGATTTCGGGAACGCAGAAGGAAGCTCGCTCTATTTACTTCGGGGGTAGGCGGCATCGTACACGCGAGTGTATTTCGCGGGTAACGATCGGGATTTGGAAAGCAATTCAAGAAAGCGCCCAAGAAAATCCTTATTGGCAGTTTCGCCCCACCGTCGGGCACACCTCCGCCTCGCTTTAGCGGTGAAATCGGACAACGGGTTCTACAGAGTAGAAGGCGCACCGAAGATAGAAAGAGCGTTCTAAATATTTACGCTGAATCGACCGGCCTTTAAAACTCCGCGGAACTTTAGACTTGAACTTTCCGATCTCTCGGACCTCTGCGACGCCCGTAAACATTGTGGACTCTAGAACTTTACGATTCGTCAGAATAATTTAGTTCACGGGACACAGAAGAGGTATATAGTTCTCCGGGCGCGATCGCCCATTAATATTGCTTAAACGCCCGTTACCCGCGTTTCGTCCTCGGCCGGACCTTCGCGGAGGATGTCCGAAGAAATTCGAAAACAGCGACGTCGAGGTTACGCTTAGCGATTTCATCGTCTCGCAGTTTCTCGTTGGAAAACGAAACGTGGGAACGTTTCACCTGTTAAGCGGCGAATTTTTTTAGTTTCAAAGACCCGTCACAGTGTGCGGAATTAAAATCAAGCGATGACGACTATTACAAATTTTATGAAAAACGAAGAAGAACTAGATTTTTATTTAAGAGAAACTTAACGATTTATCTCTGAAAAGTTATTGTTGTTGTAAACTGAAAAATTCTCAAATAATAATAAAATACATGAACAAGAAAGACATGTAGAAAAAAAATATTAAGAATTTCAATTGTGTTCGGTGTGATATTTCTCGAAACACGGTACCACACAAAGTGGCGCTTCGCAGGTCTTACACCGGTATCTTAACTCCCATCACCCCCTCCGTATAAAATACTTGGCAGTTCTATTGGTAATATAATATAATAATATATATAATATAATATATAATATATAATAATAATATAATATAATAATATAATACAATAATAATATATATAATATAATATATAATATATAATAATAATATAATATAATAATATAATACAATAATAATATAATATAATAATATATATAATTCTAAAGGTAATATAGCATCCCACCAAATAATATTCTTATTGTATTAGGTTGAAAACTATGAAACGGGCGTTGAACGATGTAAATCGCGTTTTGTTTCCATCTGATTTCGGAGAAGAATAAAATAGAAATGGAATACAAACACGAATAAAATTTTACGAATTGAGTAAGAAGAATTCCTTTAAAATTTATAAATAAAAATATCGAGCCCACATTACAATGAACGCAGTCGCAGCTGAACACAGACTAAACGAAAACGTCCGTTTCATAGTTTCCAACGTAATATTTTATTAAAATTTCGAGTTTCCATAGTCAAATGGTAATTTTACGTTTTTAACGACGAGTAAACACGTCGAACGCGCCGTAATAGAGATTTGGTTCGACGCGTGTACACGACAGACGCGCTTAACTGGTTAAACCGCTTGTTCAGAGAACAGCGATTCGACTAACTCGCGAAACTTTCTGTGTACAGTCGCGACGAATTCCATAGTCGAGGCTTCGCGGCCGGATAAAAAAAGAGAAATACGGGCGCAATTTGTAATGCAGTTCAGGGTTCGCGTTGCAGACGGAAAGCTCGTCGGCAAGACAGAAACTTCATCGGCATTCTTTTGTGCTGCTCCGAATTCGACTTTTTTGCTTCACCGCAGACTCTCTCTTACTTCGTCCGTTACTCGGGGATGAGGTGAAGTTCCACGGTTCCGTCGGTTTTATTTGGTTAAGCAAGTCCCGGGTCACCTTTTTCGGAGATGTTGACAAGTGCACCCCAAGGACAGGGTTGTAAAGCTGGCGAGATCCGGGGCGCCCTTTTAGGATCGCCGGGTCCATAAACCAAGGCGACCGAACATTTCGATGCATAAAGCAGTCCCTCTTGAAAAATATAGCAACTCGGTTTGACAAATGGACGCTTCAAGATTCGAATGCTTTGTGTCCAACGCGAGGCTACTTAATAAATCTTCGCGATTCTCTCGTGAAAGCCTTTTGGTTCTGTGTGTTTTCCACGTTTGACTTTTTCAATGATTTAACCAGTTACCTGTGTTCGACGAGTATACTCGTCGCGGAGAAGTGACGGAGTATTTTGTCACGACGAGTGGCGGCCCATTGGCCATTTAAATTGTAATTTTAGTGAAAAGAAAAATATATTTTCGAATTTCAAGATGTTTAGAGTATTTCGAAGCAAGGCCAGGATAAGACAAATAAGTACAAAATATGAATAAATATATGAATATTGCAGTATTATTGCAATTTGAATTAGAATTTTTCGTTTAGAGTATTTCGAAGCAAGGCCAGGATAAGACAAATAAGTACAAAATATGAATAAATATATGAATATTACAATATTATTGCAATTCGAATTTTTAACTTTTACAAGCATTTGATTTAGTAAGTAGTAATAAAGAAGTAAGTAAAAGTAATAAAATTGTTAATTTTATATAAAATAAAGCCGCCTTTCTGATCCAATATACATATATTTTTATAGCGACATTTTCTCTGTGTCTGACGAATATACTCGTCGTCGCTCTGAAAAGGCGGCGCCACAGTTAACCGTTCAAACAGCGAAATTTCGTGGAAAGAAGTTTCAATCGAAGGTTTTGCATTTTTATTCAAATTTTTACACGACGAATAATCCGTGCTCACACCGTAATATCAGAACTTTCCGTTGTCGCTGGTCTACAATACGCGAACTAATACGAAGAGGTAACATTTCACGTACACGTTTGACATAGATATGCCAGGCCTGCAGATTTGTATATGCATATGTCACGCACCCGTTACGACCGACAGGCCTCTTGTCAGGGGTCCATTAACCCCTTCTCGGTGCCGCAGGGGATGATTTATACTTGACATTCTGTTTGGGAAAGTAAGATTTATGTTCGCCGATAACGCGCACGTTCTTCCGCGGAACGTGGGAAATTTTAGATAAGAACATTTAGTGGATGAAAACATTTCGAAAATGCATGCAGAAATGTAATCGTGAATTTGATAATCAATGAACCTAAATCTGTGCTATCGTTAAATTCGTGAACAATATCTCTGTTCGACGACCAGAAGGAAGGAACACATCTTTCGTAAAATTATGAAAATATGCGGTAGCCATAATTGTTATTAAAATCGAAGTTACTTTAACCTAACAGGTCTCAGAATTAAATCGACAACTCTTACGAACGGATCGTTGATTAATCGTCGATTAAAGATTGTTCGCTATTTCTTAAGTCGAGTCGATGCTTTTAGACCAGAAAGAAAGAACGCATCTTTCATATAATTATGAAAATATGCAGTACCCATAATTATTATAAAAATCGAAGTTATTTGAAGCTAACAGGTCCCAGAATTAAATCGACAACTCTTACGAACGGATCGTTGATTAATCGTCGATTAAAGATTGTTCGCTATTTCTTAAGTCGAGTCGATGCTTTTAGACCAGAAAGAAAGAACGCATCTTTCATATAATTATGAAAATATGCAGTACCCATAATTATTATAAAAATCGAAGTTATTTGAAGCTAACAGGTCCCAGAATTAAATCGACAACTCTTACGAACGGATCGTTGATTAATCGTCGATTAAAGATTGTTCGCTATTTCTTAAGTCGAGTCGATGCTTTTAAATCGAGTCGATACTTTTACTCCAGCTGGCAAGAAAAAATACGAAAAATATCTCGAAGCATCATTCATACCTGCTCTAACTCTCTCTCTCTCTCTCTCTCTCTCTCTCTCTCTCTCTCTTTCTCTCTCTCGTCATCGAAACGCATCGTAGGTTTATCGCAGCGGCGAGC